TCAGCTCCAGACCCCCCCAAATCTTTGTAGAACCTCATCTGAACCTGTCCTAGCAGCAAGGGGATTGTATTTGCTCTGTTCACTGTTATGTTTGATGTGGTTTCTACACTTCTGTACTGTTCTGTAGTAAGTCTGAGTGCATGCCTCACTTTCCCTGGACACTGGAACGGTGCCCAGCTGGGGATGGAATTTCAAGTGTGACTCGAACCCGTGAAACTCCTTGCCAGAGGATGTTAGGAAGGCAAAGACTCTAACAGAGTTCAAAAAAGAGCTAGATAAAGTCATGGAGAACAGGTCCATCATAGGGTATTAGCCAGGATGGTAGGAATGGTGTCCCTAGCCTCTGTTTGTCTGGAAATGGGTGACAGAGGAGGGATCCTGTGAATTCCCTCCCTCTGGGGCATCTGGCATTGGCCACTGTTGGCAGACAGGACACTGGGCTGGATGGGCCTTTAGTCTGACCCAGTATGGCCGTTCTTATGCTCTATGACTTTCTAACTGAGAGAAGCTGCACCAGTTAGCATGTATACAATAGCTAAGGCTTTCTGTAACTTGAGCCTGGCATAACCACGTGGCACCTTTTGTTCAGGAAACAGGACAAAGGCTGCAGGCAGAGATGTGCTGCTGGGTGTGTGAGTGACTCTGGCTGGCTTGGGGGGGCAGGACCATTGGCTCTGAGTCCTCTCCCCACTCCCAGTCCAAGCTGGGTTGTACAGGATGCTCCTGGCTCCTGTGCTGACAAGTCTGTTCTACTCTGTGTCTCTGTGAGCAAATAACCCTTCTGCTCTCCCTGCTGGCTGAGAGCCACATCTGGCTCCGGATGATGGTGCAGGGCCTGCTGGCTCCACCGCCCCCCCAGTGACAAACGGCACTAACATAGCTTTTCTGGGACAAGGCCACGGGAAGGGTTCCAAAAAGCCAAGGTACTAGTTCCTACCCCCCAGGCAACGTTGCAGAGGTTGTGCCACTTTCAGGACGTCATTTTTCAAAGGGACCTTGCTAACTGGTGTGACCCTAGTACAGAGCAGTCTCACCAGGATAACTGCTGCTGCCCAGATAGTTCTTCCCATTGAGGGAAATTCTACCCCCTCCCCCTGAAGCTCCAGGATTCACACAGACCTAGCAGGTGCCTGATTTCTTCACTTATTTTAATCTTCCATCTGAATGCAGGAAGCTGCTGATTGCTGGGAACATCCGGGAATCAGGGCCCAAGCACGTCCTGAAAGGATTTCCTGTTTGTGACGTCTCCATCAGAAATGCACAGAATGGCCAGACTGGGTCAGACCAAAGGTCCATCTAGCCTGGAATCTTCTCTTCTGAGAGTGGCCAATGCCAGGTAGCCCAGAGGGAATGAACAGAACCGGGAATCATCCAGTGAACCATTCCCTGACACCAGGAGCGGCCCTAGACTAGCTGCCAGCAACTGGCGCCCTAAGCAAACCATGCAATTGGCGCCCACCCCCCCAACCCCAAGGGCAGATATAGGCTGAGGTTTTTGGTTCTGTGGCTGGGGAGAGGGGCCTGGGAATGGAGTTCAGTGTCTGGGGACAGGGAAGAGGGAACAGGGTGCCAGTGGGGGGAGGGAGTCCCCTGCACCCGCCTCCTCCCAGGATGGGGAACCCCCACACTCCTCCTCCTCCAGGGCCGACCCACTCCTCCCGCGGCACGGGGAACCCCTGCATGCCGCCTCCCTCAGGACCAACCCCTCCTCCCAAGGCCAGAGAACCCCCACACATGCCTCCCAGGGCCGACCCATCTCCTCCTGTAGCGTGGGGAAACCCCCATCCGCCTGCCTCCCCTGGAGCCAACTCCCCGCGCTCCTCCACACTCCTCCTCCTCCAGGGCCGACCCACTCCTCCCGCGGCACGGGGAACCCCTGCATGCCGCCTCCCTCAGGACCAACCCCTCCTCCCAAGGCCAGAGAACCCCCACACATGCCTCCCAGGGCCGACCCATCTCCTCCTGTAGCGTGGGGAAACCCCCATCCGCCTGCCTCCCCTGGAGCCAACTCCCCGCGCTCCTCCTCTGGGGCCAAAGCCAGGTGTTATGGGAAGAGGGAAGCCTTCCTCCGGGGCCGACGCCAGGAAGGAGAAGTGGCAGGGGGAGTGGCGCCCCATTTAACTTGGTGCTCTAGGCGGCCGCCGAGGTTTCCTC